TTCCTTCCTTCCTTCCTTCCTTCCTTCCTTCCTTCCTTCCTTCCTTCCTTCTGACTCAAAAGATTTAACATGTAAAAAGTGAGAAAGAAAGAAAAATGGGGAATAAAGATAGTTACAATGCTTACAACAATAGAAATGAGTTGAAACAGGCTTCCCATGGCCAGATGTGTCCTGCACTGGCCACACCCATGCCCGGTTTAGCCAAGGGGAAAAAGTCATGATACATCACATGATGCCGCAGTGACACTGTGCGTTTGATACCCCTAAGTTAAAAGATCTAAAACTAGAAAGAAAAAGCTTAAGCTGCAGAGGAATGACAAAAGGATTATTTTCCTGAAAGTAAGGATAAGGGGAACACCCAGGTTTGAGTAACAAGCTAGTGCCTAGAATAGGATAGCCATTGAGAAGCCCTGCTTCCTTTTTTTTTTGAACAAATTTTATTAATTTTTTAAAAACAATACACAAACGAACAAAACATAGGATGTAGTAACATAAAATATCTTTTCTAAAAAACACATAAAACATCTTATTTAAAAACAAGACAATTCCAAATTATCACATTTCTATACAAACACAATTTAATATGTATATTTATCTTATCTGTTCAACTTCATATCTTTTCCCAACTTCTCTTTACTGCTCCCTTTCCTTCTATTTAATTGTATTTTTTTGCCTTAAATTATATATATTCATTGTATATAGTTTCATTAATTCTCTTCCAACATCCTTTCAAACATAGACAAACATTACACAAAACATAAATACATAAAACTTCTTTTTGGAAAGCTGCTTACCCCGGGTTAGATCTTTTTGTACAGACATAAATCAAATTCGTGCTCACGTAATATACCATTTCATATCTTATTTAACATTCTATATTTTCTATATATTTTCTCTCTCCTATTCACTCTTTTAATTCTATTTTATTTATTTCATCTCAATTTAAATAATTATACTTGCATCTTTTGTCCGTTCTCTTTCAATCATCTATTTATCCTTTCTTTCTAATACAATATTTCTCCCGTAAACACTGGTTGAAGTATGACAACTTTTTATCTTTCCCCTAAATTTAACACTTAAAATAATACATACTTTCCATACTGATTCTGCTTCATACATTCTAAGTACTACATTTCAAAATAATAAAACAAGCAAATAATATTAAATTTAATAAGTAATAAAACCAAAAAAAGGAATATTGAGTTTATAATATAATAAGAACAATATTTCATAGGAAATTGAACTCTATTATTAAATCTTAAACATTTTCATAGCTTCCCTTTAATGCATTATTAACTCATGGAATATTTTAATTTTCTAACTCAGTTTCAAATACTAATGTCTACAATACAATCTTTTGCAGAATCATTTTTATAAAATTATATCTTACCCCTTATCTCTGAAAAAAAACTGTTTTTAACATCTTGTTTAAAACCTTTATGACTTCTCTTTCCTTTTTCCCTTTCTTTCGTATCAATTCTAGGTTTTTGACCCTCCCCATCTCTCAAATTTCAATCTCTTAATCTTCCCTCTCTGTTGTATTTCTCTTCTCTGTTGCTTTCTGACATCATATCGATTTTTCATCTTATTTTTCTTTTTCTTCGTTGCTTTTTTAAGTCCTGAGTTCACCATTTCTTTGCCCCCCTTACGCTTTTCTTCCTCCACTAAGAGTATTTGTCCATTAAAGATGGCCTCTTCTTCTTCATCCCAGCCTTCCTGTCGTTGTTGCATTTCTTGATAGGTAGAAATCGCCATTTCTAAAAAGTGGAAAATAGATCCAGAAGAGCCCTTGCCTTCTTGTTTCTCTTCTTTCAATTTTTGAAATTCCATTTGTAATTCTTCAAAAGATAATGCCATTTTTTTAAACAACCCAAATGTCTTTAATCTTTCAAGAAATAGTTCACAAAAATCCCAAAGTCACAAAGCAAACCAAATCAGAGCAAACAGTTTCATTTAGCACTTTCTTCTTTCTATATTTTCTCTTCCTAGGGTAGAATTCAAATACACAGTTCCAAAGTAGTCTTCTAGAAGTCGTAATATCTTTTATTTCTGATCTTATAAACTCAAAGCAGTCTCCTTCAGTACAATCTTAAAATAAGTCTTTACCTCTTCCCTTCCGCTTATAGCAAATAAAAAGAATTTTAGGTTTTTAATTCCAATGTCCAGAAATCCTTTATCCCCTTGGCTTTAAATTTCAAGTTAGATTACCTTCTATGCCCAAGCAGGTTTTCCAGATTTCCATCTGCTGTTTCTGTGGGAAGGGAGAGTGAAAGAAATAACTTTCCCTTTCCAGTTTTCTTCCGCAGCTTTTACAATCTTCTTTGGGAGAAGCCCTGCTTCCTTATACAGATATTCCTCAACTTACAACAGTTCATTTAGTGACTGTTCAAAGTTACAACATCAGTAAAAAAATGACTTATGGCCATTTTTCACACTTATGACCATTATAGTATCCCCATGTTCACCTGATTTACATTCAGATGCTTGACAACTGACTCACATTTATGATGCTTGCAATGTCTTGGAGTCATGTGATCGCCTTTTGTGACCTTCTGACAAGCAAAGTCAATGAGAAAACCAGATTCTCTTAACCATGTTACTAATTTAATTAATTAAAGTGATTCATTTAAAAAATGTAGGAAGGGAAATTGTAAAACAGGTCAAAACTCGCTTAACAAATTTCTCACTTAACATAAATCTGTGGCTGTAAGTTGAGGACAATCTGTACCTAGTCTTCTATCTTCCTAGAGGGCAGGAATTCTTAATTTTCCTAACTCATTATGCTAATGAGATCGGTCAGCATCATTCTTGCTGATGTTTTTTATTGAGACCTCTAAATTCTTTGATTTTTCTTTTAAATATCTATTTCAGGCCCATTAATCTTTCATACACTTGTCTCTGGCTCCTTTGCTATCATCCCTCTGCCTGGCCTCTTGTCTACCTGTACATAAACTGGATCCCAGGTCCATCTTAGTTTGTTTACAGAACTTTGACTTAATGTTACTGAAACCCAAATTCACAATATAAATAAAAATTTGGATTAATGGCAGTCCTACTTTGTAGCTAAAGCATTAGCTAAAGGAGGAGTGGAAGTAAGTAGAGAGTCTCTCGTCTCTTGCTCCCATCCTTTCCTTTGGATTATAGTCATTTCTCTATTCCAGGCAGGCTAGAACAATTCCATGCATATTTATTCACAAGAAAACCTAGTATACTCTTGGTATGATTCCCAAATAAGTATCCACAGAAGTGAACCATTGAAGATCACATAAATTTACAATGAAAATAAATAAAATTAGGAATGTTCTATTTTTACTCCATAAGTTTCTATGAAGGAAACTCATTTGCCCTACTTTCAGATCCTTGGGGTTCTAAAAGTACCAGAGTGGAGATTTACAAATGTCTAGCATAGTTAATGTTCCATAGCTCTGTTATTAATAAGCCTTTTTTGCCTTACAGCTACAAAAATAAATGTGAAATAATCCAAACTATCCAAGAAAGCAGACAATGCACAGTTTGTCCTACTGTAACTTACTCTCTGGCTTTCCTGTTTGTGTGGTTAGTATGTCATGTGAAGAAAAAAAATTGAGTGAGTACAAAAAGTATCTTCATACACATGTCCTGATACCTTTCCAAGCCTGTATTGCATGCATCCTGTTTGGCAATTTCACTTGACTATTCAGCATTATATCAGAATGGAGTATTCGTTCCCATGCATGTTCATCAACCTTTCTTGCCTCTTGGCAAATTCTGGTTCTAAACTAATTCTATTTTTTAAAAATACCTTTCTTCCCACAATGTAATTATAACAAAGAAACACCAATTTGACAATCCTACATTATCAGCAATTCAATTGAAATAGAGGCCTTCAAAATATTTATACAAACTGATTTCATAGAAAACAGTTTATACATCTTTATTTATTTATGTTTACATTTCTATTCCTCTATTCCTCCAGGGAGGCATTTTTGGTGATAGCAAGCCTGTAAAATAGGCTAAGCAAAGGCTGAGAAAGTAATTTGCTAAAAGCCAGATGGGTTGGCTAGGTTTAATTACTTGAGTTCAAGCCTGCTAAATAAGCCTAGACCCTGAACCTAACCATCTTATAGAAGAACTTTCTTTGAATTTTCATGTGTAGTACTTTGGAATGGGTATCCTTTCATTATAAAAACAGAAACAAAATAAAAACAAATGAAGTGGACAAACAAACACACACACCCCAATCAGGTGTTCATCTAGCTTGATATCCAATATTTTATTTCAATAATTCCTTCTATTTTAAGATGGTCTGGTTTTAATGTTTTTCCGGTACTTAAATTGTCAAATCTTGGATCTTACTTTAAAAAAACACTGGTGACCTCTTCCTGACTTTACTCCTTTTACCTTCTTGTTCCTCCCCCACTCTCCATGAGTACCTGTTCTTACAACTTATCTGCAAAGACAGTTTTGAAGTCTTCCAGTGTGAAGACTGAGGCTGTACAAGCATCTTTCTTATCCCCATTGGAAACTTGGCATGCAATTCTGCTTTGAAATATGTGCTTGACAAATATTAGATCATTATTCTCCTGTTCATTTTAATGATTTTGTCCATCTGCTGTTACATTTTATTATTTATTTTTGCTCTTGTAAACTTATCTAGGTAATTACTGATTATTCCCCATCTAGAAAAACAAAGTGCACATACAAGAGAGAAAGAATTCCCCTGTCTCTTAGTATTATATGCTATTCTAAACCTCATTCTCGAAATATTTCTCTGTTGATGATCCAAGGAAACTCAGGTAAAATCCCACTTTGTAACATTTCCTAACCCTTCTGTTTAAACTCAAAAAGCTATTGCTTAAAATCATTAATCAAATTGTGAATAAGCCAATAAATAACAACCCTGGAGTCAGTTAATGAACATCACTTTCATTCAATATACTGAAATGTTGAAAAAGCACTTAAAAGCTGCACCAATTGTCAAAACAGTGATAAAACAAATCTTTCAATACTTTTACATAGTCCTTTTTTCAATAACATTAGAAGCATTTTAATGACTGAGATCTATTGAAAACATTGTAAACTGAGATGAATTTTTTTACAGTGATCCTTTTAATAAATGCTTTGCCTCTGACATAACTACCCAGAAAACAAATGTTCAAACAATGAACATTTTTGTCCTGTTTATAATAAGTAGCTTCAACAATATATTATTGCATGTTTGCCATTGACACACGTATTACTTCAACAAAAGCAGGACTGAGGTTCCTATAAGATTAAATGAAAAATAGTTGCATCAAATATATCTCTACTGATCTTGTGCAAGGGGATTCTGGTGTGAAGCCGTCCAGAGGTCTGGACTTCAATTTCTATCAACAAAGCTATGCTAAGTAGTCTACACATTAAAGTTCACTCATCTAAAACCTGTCCAGGTTGGAAAGGCAGTTATGTTGCATCTCTATATTTGGCAAGAGAACATCTGTTCGGTTTCTTTTAATGTCATCTGAAATACACTTAAGAAAGTGTATTTTGCTGGAATGAAATGGTGGCAAACCAGAAAGGTACAACTGTTTTCCTACTCTAACAGCTGCTGTTTGGGCCATATTGTTGTCTGCATGAAGAGGCATGGAGAACATCAGTGACTTTTATTCTTTGTTGTTAGTCATTACAAATGTTGAGATAGTGTTTAGTGATGGATAACAATTTTATTATGTCTTGATGGGTGAATACAGATAAGTGCAAATGTGATCATCAAATTACTATCTATTTTCCATGTTTTAGAATGATTAATTGTACATCCATTTTTGAAGTTTGCAAACTTTTTTCTGTCAATTATATAGTAGTCACATATACTAAGGGTGGAAACTTAAGGATAAACCTGCTAGCTCTCATAAATTGCTTTTTGACATACTGCATCAGGTTTTTTGGTTTTATAAGGTTTATATGGCTGCCCATCTTATAAAACACAACTCTGAGCAGCTTATAACAATTCAACACCAAAGAAGAAAAACCACAGAGAGCAAGCACCTGACTCACCATCTCCAATTCTTCAATTGAAACAATCTTCAGAATTCAGCATGGCCTTATCTTAGTGCTTAATAGGGGAAAAGCCAGCCCTTAATGGCTTTCTCGGGAGCTACCAAATCCTAGGGGGAAGACTATTCTATAGGTAAGGGGCTGTTATGGAAAAACATGCTTCCTAAACCCATTAAATGGCATCACTTAAAGGATGTGACCTGCCTCCCTTATCTAGCCTAGTGGAATGGCAGATACTCTCAGGCAGAGGCAATGCTTCAGATACCTTTCCCTGTGTCATACAGGATAGTAAACAGCATCTTGAATTGCACTCAGAAAGAAACTGCTAACCTGTGCAGCTCACACAGCAGCACTGTAACATGGGCAACAGGAAAGGAACTGACAACTGTGCAGATTACCACATTCTGGGCCAGTTGTGATGTTCAAGAATAAATCCATGTAAAACACATTGCAATAAATTCTCAACCAGGAAGTGATGAAGGTGAAAGTAATAATGAGGATTGTGATTATATATTCACAGTGGAATTTTCTATTGTACCATGGAGATAGAAAAAAATGAAAGAGATCTGTTGGTTAGTCCAGACTGGAAGTGGAAATTATACTACTTTTACAGAAATATCATTTTTTATTTTTTATTATTACACATTTTTCTTTGTTATATATAACATTTCCATTTCTTCAATGGCAGTGTACTATCTGTATCAAATCTCTTTTGAATACATATCATATTATACATACCATAATTATAACCATTATTCTCATCCTATATACAATATGTTCTTCACTTTTAATTGCCCTATTTAATCTATAATCTATGCTTAATATTTAATCAAATATAATCCAGTGATAATATTGTTTGTGATATTATTGCATATATATCATCTGCCATCATCAGGCTTATGTATTGTGTTCATATGTGAGTCAGGCTTTCACAGCCATTTCTGTTTTAAATGTGGTGCTAGCCTACTACTATGCCAGAATGGTTTTTTCTTCATCCTGATTGGTTGGGAGTCTTGGTCTGTGTTTATTAGTCTTGGAGTTTGCTGTGTTCTGCTTGATTGGTGTTTCTAATATCTTCTGTCTGTTTTGTAGCATTTTTTTTTGTCTTGATTGGCTGGCAACATTGTGTTTCCTGTATTGGAGGCTTTTGGTGCAGCTTGGCTTCGGGAAAACGGACGGCTATCATTTATCCATTTACCCGTGAAAACTTAAGAAAACACACACACACACACAC